GATTGTTTTATTGGTTTTTTTCAGTGGGTATGCCACCCGAACCGCTTCTTCCTCGCTGTTCGTCCAGCCGAGAACGAGGTGACCACTGATTTCCAAATCATTAATTTCCATCCGAGTTCTGAAAACGAATTTAAATTGCAGCATTTATTGGACGGTAAGGCATCGCGGAGCAGTGCACCCAAGACATTCAAAACCATTACAAAGTTACCGTACCGTACCGTATAATCATTAAGTGTCCTTGTCCTAGTGTCATACGCAAGTGAACTGGTTCACCCAGTCCTGAGCTTCCCGCCACGAATGGGATTATTGTTGCCGAAAAAACACATGTGCGCCACTATCCCCCTCCCTCCCCTCAGCCCGAATAGAGGGAAGAGGATTCATGTTCTAATGATTGGCGTACACCTCCCAGGTGTCGCGCCGGCATGGACGCCTTGCTCCTCGCATAAGCTCAGAAGCATCGGGGTTCACCCTGCTTAGGAGCGGCGTCATGTCGGCGTGAGGGTACGATCGGGGACTTACGCTGCGCCCGCTCTCGCCACTGTCCACGCGGGGGTAATACACCAAAGGCCCTAGCAGCCCCTATGGTTACCGCTGGTTACCCGAACCGATTGACCTACGCCATGCCAAACAAATATGGACTACGGCCATCGCGGCCTACGACGGTGGCCCTTAAACCTAGCCTACGAACGTTTCATATATTTTACACCTAGCTAGCATGTGTAAAACAAATACACTACGGTAGAATCACCGTTTGATGACTTAATAAAGAACACACAAATAAGAACCATAGATTCATATGAACTCTACTATGAGCAAATACTATGAAAAGAATGATAAACACTTCTACGAAATGAAAACCACGACCTACGAACTCACGGGTCGAACCCAGTGCTCAATCCTTACGGGGGGAGACGTGGTAGCGGTCCTGCGGTCCATCTCGGGCATCCATGCCCGTCCTCCTTCTGACTCCATCGACCAGACACATGGATACCAAAACGGCGACGTACGACGAACAGCAGGACTACGACGTAAGAGCGAGAACGCAACGACCAGACTCGGCGAGATCGACGTGAAGACTGACTGACTGCGAAGGCACGCGAGCTCTGCTTCTCTGCCCGCTTCCCGAACCTTCGATCGGACGAGCGCACTGAGGACCCGCGCGCCAAAGAAAAATAAAAATACAGGCGTGCCTTATCAAAGTACGGCGGAAAGTCCGCACGAGAGGTCGGAGAGTCCAAACTGAATTGGAGAGGCACTGTTCAATATTGTTGGTTTCTCGCGCAATCCCAGGGTTAGTGTGCGGAGCCAAGGGGGTTAATGTGTTGATTATGTGAAGGAGGTTTCGGTCTTTTGAAAGGCACTGAAATCAATTAAATAATCGGTAAGGGTCCGGAAAGCTACATCAACACCTGCTTTCCTTTTTTCTGAGGTATAGGTTGTAAAGCAGTACTTGTTCCTATTTAGATTTGGTCGTTTGGGTCAGCTTACGGCGAGAACGCTTTCCTGAGCAAGAAGTGCATCGGACTCCGTCTAGCATCCTATCGTGGTTGGAAAGAGGGTTGGCTTGCACTGAACGCGGCCCTGATTGCCGTCAAAGGTGAGGCAAATTACCATATCATGGCTTGAACCCCAGTAGGTAAGAATGTTCAGCTATCAGCTTTTGTTCATGGCAAAAAGCACCTGCTCTCTGTCATCACGGAGGTCGGCTGAGTGCTCTACTCACACCTACTCTCACACAGGTCCTTCCGGGAAAGACGTATTCGGCTGTGTGGCATTTCCACCTGGCGTTGGAAAGACCATGGTCGCTTTGATGACTCCAGCTCTCCAAAAATGGCAGGTGAGTGGTTTCAAAAAGTTAATCTTTTCAGATTCTCTGAAGAGAGTGCTCTTTCACAGGTTCGAGTTCTTGGCGACGACATTGTGTGGATCAAATGTGGATCGGATAAAGTGATGTACGGTCTAGCGCCAGAAAATGGAATTTTTGGCTGTCCCAACAATGCGACTCCAGAGAATGCAGCCAATGTCCTCAAGGTAAAATCACAGCAGGAGAGGGATTCTCCTTGAACGAAGATGGCACAGCGAATTGGTCGCTCGCTCGCTTGGTCGCCGGATGAAAATAAAAACCATAAAGAACGCTCAGAACCCGAAAATTGATACACCTCTTGCTCCTGCTGAAGCTAGCGACTTACGGCGAGTGGTTAGCCAGTCGGTGGGCGTGCCGCGCTGATAGCGCCGCAGGGGCGATGCTAGGTCACTGGGGCATATTCTTCACTCGGATCAGCATACTTCCTCCGCTCATCAACGACCAATTCTTTCTTGTTTCAGATGCTTAACAAAAACGCTATGTTGGTGAATTGTGCAACAACTAACAAAGGTCGATTCTTTTGGGAAGCCTTGAAGGACACTTTGGAGGGAGACGAACGAGTGAGCGACTGGAATCGAGAGGAGTGGAAGCCAGAGCACAGAAGGTTCGTTGGTTCCATTGAACCCTCTGTAGAGGGAGATTGATGAGTCGAAATCTAAGTCGAAGGGTTACAATGTTTCCGAGATTTCATGCTACCTCGCGGTAGTACTGGAGTACAAAACTATCCGTATGCCCAAAATTCAATTCCATATTTCAGGACTCCAAACCATGTGAATTGTCGCTATAGTGCATTTATGAGCTCCGCGCCAAACTTGCACCACAACTGGGATTTCTCTAGCAGGAGTACCCATTAGTTTGTGAGTTGTTCTGTTAGCTGTAGCATTACAGAAGGTGATGCCCATGTGTTTGTTTTCGCATGCTCTACTTTGAGGGCACATCCCATAATAGCAGATATAGGTTCCACAATGAAAATATGACATGTTAGGGGCCTTACTAGTGAGGCAACAAAAGACACCCGAGTACCAATCATATTCATTTTAGGAAAGATCGCGGCTTGAAGTCAGTTGGGACGATGATATGGGTGATGAACAAGGGCAGATCTGCCTTAAGTGAAGGGATTCTAGGTCCCTTTGGGAGTTGAACGTAACGCTTACGCGTGGCAACGTGCTCCTTTCCTCTAAACCTTTCGTGCATCACTGGTCGTAGCTAGACAGGCTGCTCAAGCATATTGAGAGGCAAGCACTGCCTTCGCGTCGATGACTGCGTCCATCGTAGGACCTCTTTATTATCATCCTGCAAAAAGGTGCTTTTGTTTCACGGGTTCCGGACCGTTTTTTAGGCTTTGGCTTTTAATTGATGGTGCTATCAGCGAGAGATGCATGTTCGAGTCTCGTCCGGGGCAAATTTTTTCGCTCTGCTATTTTGAAAGGCATAAGTCAGCGGAAAGTTGTGTGAACGATTCTCTTCGGTCTCTAGGAGAGACCCTTAGTGAATAATCGGAAATTCGGAGAAGTAGCAATTCAGTGCACGGGAATCACTCGACAAGAGCGGAAAGGTCGCCCCTCCCAAAAAGAAAAGCGGTAGCTGCAATTTTTTCTTCTTTTAGACCGACGTCATAGTCGGCGACGGACCAAGCGATGGAGCGATC